ATGCCAATGCTTCTGTAGGCTTCACTTCTGCATTCTTTTGAATGGAAGTTACTGAATGACACAGTGGTGGTCGATTTCTCTGAGATATGAGATACTGTGGTGCAAAAATCAGAACCTTTGTTTGCTGTCTCGAGTCATAGAATCTCAAGCTAAGGAGCTTTATCAGTGAAAAGGTTAGCATTTTTAAGCAACTACAGCACATAGCCTTTTTTAATGCAAGGATGTATTCCATCAAGTAATTTTATGACTAAACTGTGTTAATATATCTTGCTAAAAGTATATTGCTCACATCTTTCAATTCTCAGATACATTATACTGCCAGGAAATTCTCAACGATCTTAAATTTTGTTCACGAATCACTACTTGTAATTTTCCCTTCTTAATGTAAACTGTTAGAAAATAATTATGGGGACGAAGAATTAGTGACGTGTTTACACTATCCTTAAAGCAATTTTAATCCCTACTATGATTGCTATGGGTTACCGGTTTATATGCTTTAGGATTTTCCTAAATTCCAGATCAATTAAAACAATGTAATTGAACTCCCTAAGAACACTTTAAGAACGATTAGAATAGAAAAGGAAGAGGAAGATAAAAGTAAAAAAGTAGGTTATAATTTGGAGCCGTTAAATATATAATGAACAACCTTTTTAATTCAAGAGTCACTATTTTCAAAATATAATTAATTAAGATAGTCTGACTGTTAATAGTCACTATTATCCTAGTACTTTAACCGTAGAAAAGTAACCGCTTACACTCACTCGATCGACCAAGCCCGTCCGGTCAGGCAAATAAACGGACAAATCTGTTAACTAGGCTCGCGCCTGACCGGGCGAGCAAATATTATTTTTCTAAGTATATGCTCGCGCCCGATCGGGCAAAGCCCCCCCAACCGAGCCCATGGTCATAAACCATGACACACGTTAAAACTTTTGTTATGCTCCAAATATTAAACTTATAGACTAGCTCCAAGTTTAAACTTCTCTATTAAACCAATGTGAGAGGTTCTTCCCAACATCAAGTTAAATAGAATAGAGTAACTTATAGACTAGCTTCAAGCTAAACTTTTCTATTTAACCAATGTGAAACTTTTTTTCCAACAAGTTAAATAAAGTTGAACAAGCTAACTTCTTCTACTCTACCAATGTGGGACTAATTTTCCATCATTCACAAAACCTATTATGAAGACTACTTTAACAAACCATAACTTCTTACCACCTATAATTTCTTTCAATGTTCAGAGCGCGGCATCTAAGCCAACCAGTTACAGGACACCAGTGTTATTATGAACACAGCTGCTAGTTTCAGTCTTTTGCAAGCAGACAATTTCGTGCCTTCCGCAATAAACTTGTATGCATCACATTTTTCTTATCACAATCTTTGTCATTGCTTGAAGATCACAAACAGACTTTGTTCGCGCCTTGTACAAGAAACTTGAATCACATTTTTCTTACAATCTTGTCATTATAGCTTATGTATAGGATTATTGTCCTTATTAGTATGGTATACTATGATATTCGATCTTATTTTACCGTCATGCACAACTTCAAGCAAATTACTGACTTACAGTACGTTAGCTCAGTGTTTTTAGTGTTGCTTGGGGCATCTCTTGTGTTGGTGTATGATCATTTTTTTTTTACTTGTTACGGAGTATATATTTTTATACAAGTATTTATGTTTTGGTGTACAAAATTAATCACCCAAAAAAAAAAATTAAAAAAATGAAGTGCAAATATGAAAAATCAAAATTCAACCAAGAGAAATAACTTTACTAGTAGTTCAGCCAAGTGCAAAGGCCAGTAGTAAATCTACAAGCTAATTCAATCACCCTCTTTTTTTCTTTCCTTTTTAAAGTTTTTATTCTATGTAACAACAACAACTACAAAAAAAAGAAAAAAAAAAGAGTATTTATTTGACAAAGATTCTTTTTAAAAGTTACTCCGTATTACTCAAACAACAAGCTTAAAATCAACAATACTGAAAATAGAAAAAGGGTCGTAGACAATCACTCATAGTATTTATTGTTTTGTCTACTAAAATTAACAATTGACCTACTTACTGTATATTTAAGCATGATTTCCAAACAAGGTTAAACCATATTTTGGAATGGCTAAATAGTACATATGTTTCTAATGATGAAAAAATAAGAATTGAAGAAATTTTCACATATTTATAATTATTAAACTTAGGTGATACTTGTATAAATTTGCTTTGCCATATAATTTTGTACTTATATACTCCGTAGTAAAATATTACATGAATTGATATAGCAAAGTGATATTTACTCCGTACTAAGTAATGCTTAATTTAGTTCACAGGTACAATAATATTCCTTTCGATGTGAAGGGGTATTTAATTTTCATTGTTGGCGGGTAAAGTTGGGCATGGGTCGGGCTAGCACGCGGGCTGCCCGGCTCGGCGACACGACACGTAGATGGCCGATGGGCCGTGCCTTGAACAAGGAAATTGAAATTTGGCACGAGCACGGCGGGCGGCACGAACACCGGCCCGTCGACACGGCCCACCAGGCACGATACTTTTATAATAAAGTTAATATTTTTTAGCAAAATAATAAAGCAAATATTAAAAAAAAAAAATAGGCGGCACGGGAGGCCGGCACGACACGACACGCTAGGCACGTGGGCCATGCCGTGTCGTGGGCCGACTTGTGGAAATGGTCGGCACGGCACGGCACGGCACGACCGTGCCAGCATGACGGCACGGCACAGCACGACATACCGTGTGGCTAGGCATGGTCGGCACAGCACAACACGACACGGTGCCCAGCTTTATTGGCGGGCTATATTAAGTCCATCCTTTATATGAGTTTTTCTATATAGTAATCCTATTAATTTCACTTTTCTACGTTGTGTCCCAACTTATATGACTTTCTACACTGTAACCCCATTATAATTTTTGTTAATTGTTACAAAGTACTCTGTAATTTATAAACAAACATAAACAGCCATAGAATGTGAAAGGCATCACCTGAAACTTCCTCCAGCTTCCTCCTTAAGAAATTATATACGGAGTAAATTTCAATAAATGGTAGACTACAAAAATCATCAATGTTCCAACTCTCTTTTTCCAGTTTCAATAATGCAGCTATAGAATGCTAATACTCCGTAGTAGTAAACTAGTACTGTAATACTCCATAGTGTAAAGCTCTAGGTGGTTGGTCGTACTATATAAGTCTATAAGTCCACTATTTTGATGTACATATCACAACAAAAAGCCAAGAGCTACTCCGTCAATTATAATTTGAAAAAGTAGTGCATGTGTTAATATAAACAACACTACAAAGACTATTTATATACTCCCTTCGTCTCAAATATAGTTTTTGTTTGTATTTTTTCACGGTATTTAAGAAATAGGAGGAAAAAGTAGATGAAATACATTAATAAAAGTGAAAAGTATAATTATAGACAAAAATTAGAGAGAAAGTGAGAAAAAAAAGTACAAAGTATGTGCAAAATTCAAGGGTAATTTAGAAAGTACAATGAATAAAGTTAAAAAAGTGAGGGTATAATAATCTTTAGATACTATCCAAAAATAGAAACATGAACAATATTTTGGATTTTCAAAATAGAAAAACATGAACAATATTATGAGATGGAGAGAGTACAAGTATCAGACCTAAATGATCACAAAAAGACAATTGATATGATTTTACAATGTAGTATGGCATTTATGAAAAAATAGTTTGTATAAATAACGTGCGACTTTATAGTTCATACTCCAACTACGTGAAGACTGAAGATGAAGATTATTACGAAGTATATAATAATGATAAATACCTGTAATACTTTGTAATATGTCAAGATTTGTATGATATAAGATAATACTCCGTACTTTATATACCATTTTTTTTTTCTACAACGGGTAAAAAAGGAGTATAGCTTCCAACAGACTCGAGATTACTAAATGCGTAAAGAGAAGGACTAGGGGAGAGATTAACTCTCTTGACAGAGCTAATACAAAACATGAAATTACGAAGCATGATGTAGACTTTACTAACTATTGATCAAAATTACGAAGTACTCTATAGCATAAAGAGTGGAAAACATGAAATAAATTATGCTTCCATAAATTTTTGGTATTTTATCATTTTCCTTCGTAATTTTTTTTTTTTTTTTTTAAATTTTTTTTTTGAAAACTTGGTATTTATTTATTAAGCTGCATGACGACTAACATACGGAGTAAGAGAATTTTTTTTTTTTTCATCAGTGTAGGCTAGATACAATAATTTTAAGGAGTTTATTTAACCAAAGTACCCTATATCATACAAGTACTTTGGTTAATTGAGAGACAAATCCAATATATACCTATGAAAATGACTAAATAGATGAAGCTAAAGCTCTGATAAGAATAATAGTACAAGTACCTTCTTATCTTACAATTAAAGTTGGGGTTTAATTTCCATTAAAAGTTTGGAGATTTTTCCCCTTCTTTTAAAAGGTCCAATAGTTCTTTCTTCTTGTATAAAAAAAGGGTACAATAGTCCAATAATATTGATTTCAACCCCAATTCCCAACCTTCTTTAATTAATTACAATACCTTGCCAATATACCCTTGAAATTATCCTCAAAAAAATTATATATATACCCTTGAAATTAGTCAATTCCCCACCATCTTATCAGTAATTTTTTTTTTTTTTTTTGTGTGTGTGTGTGTTTTGGGAAGGGAGTATCTATCACCTAGCTCTAGGTAAATTATTGCTAACCAGTAATCATTCACTTTCTTCCCCATACTGCAGTAAATTGAAATTCCACAGAAGAATTTACAGAAAATTTTGATATTATCCAACATCTATTTGTTTTTTTTTTTAATTCATCAATCAATAATTCAGATCAATATGGACATTATCTTTGAAAACTACAAATTGAGAGGTACTTTGTATCGCATTTGATATGTTTTGATTTACTTCTGTGTCAAAAAAAAAAAAAAAAAAAAAAAAAAAAAAAAGATTTACTTTGTATATTTCTTGCATTCCTTATACATGCAATACTTTTAACTTTTACATAATTTTATATATAATTATTTAATTCACTTTGATTACTCCATAACTTTGATGGTTTATATTTTTCAAGTATTGTAAGTAAAAAAAATTAAAAAAACCAAAGAAAATATATTTTTCAATAGAGTATAACTCATTTGGCTTTAGAGTACAAACAATTTTCTTACGACCAACTTTTATATGTGGCTAACTATATTGAGGGTTACATTATTAGTGTTAAAAGGTTTTTTTTTTGTCAATATTATATAGTTTACTCAATCAATATTTACAATAATTATTTTGTCAATATTATAGAGCTACTTCATCATTGCTATAAAAATTTACTCAATCAGAAATAACCACCACATATTATGAACAGCCACACACACATAAAACATGTTTACACAATTTTGAGAATTGTGTTACTTAAAAGTCATGTACTCCGCATCAAGTAAAAAATAATAAATTAATACAAGTAAAAAAAAAAAAAAAGAACCTTCCTTGAAATATGGCGGACTTTTGCATGCATATTGGCGCGAATTTACTTCTGGCAAGAAACTATCATCCCATTGCAACATCACATATTCACATCCTTCTCTCTGAACTCACCTACCTACATTTATTTCTCTCTCTCTCCTCAATTCAGTCACCTTTTTTTTTGGTTCTTACTATTCTTATAAGTACAATTTATTCCTCTGTTTCTAGAAATTTTCCTTTTTTCCAAGAAAATTTAAAATATGGAAACTTTACCAGTAGGGAAGAGAACAAGGAGTCAAAGAGCAAAAATGTTAATGGAGCAAAACAAAAGGGCGCGCTTGGCTGCTAAAAGGGAGTGGAAGAAGAAAAAAGATGGAATTTTTGAGGGTAAAATTGGAATTAAAGATGAAAATTTGATGGAGGGTAGTGAAGCTATGGTGATTGATGAAGAAGAATTTTTAAAAGGGTTTCAAAAATTAAAAGAATCTGAGAAGAATTCACAAATTCAGGATTTGGGTTTTGTTAAAAAAGAAGTTTTTGATGATGATGTTGATCATGGAAAGGGGGTTATGATGATGGATGATGTAAATGATGGTGAAAGTGATGATTCTTTGCAAATTTTGGGAGAAAGATGGAATCCTCTTGGGTTGGATGATGATGATGGTGAGGATGTGCATGATGATGGATGTCATCCTTTGACTATAGAAATCAACTCTGATGATGATGATGATGTTAATGATGATGGTAATGGTGATGGTGAAATGAAGGGAGATGAAGTTAAGGAAGGTGGAAATTGTGAGGAAAAAGTTGATGATGGTGGTGATGTTGATGACGTAGTTTATGATTTTGAGGGTTTATCAAGTGAAGAAGATGATGTTGAATTGGACAAGGATTTTGTGGGGAAGGAAGATGAATCTTCTAGTTCTTCTGATGTGTATTCAAGCTCAGAGTGTTCTGTTATAGAAGTTGATGAAAATGATGATGTACTTCTTCATTATTATGATGATGAATTTGATGATGATGATGATGATGACAAAAGAGGAGATAGAAATTGTGATAGTGGGTTAAAAAAGAGTGTGTCAATTGTAAAGGAGGAAGAAGAAGTTGGGAAGATGAAGGGTCAATTGAGTGGTGAAAAGAGGAAAAGAGGGAGGCCCCGGAAGAACAAGAACACGGCCGAGGTTGAATATCAACCAATGAACAAGAATGTCAAGAACACGGCCGAGTTGGAATCTCCATCTATTAAGAATAGAGTTAAGAAGTCTACTAAAGATACTGAGCTTCAGATTAGTATCTTAAATACAATTTTAGAGGGGGGAGATAAAGGAATAGGTGAGAATTTGCCTGATACAAGTGATTTTTATCTTCCATTGAAGTTCAAATTTGGTGTTGAGAAGTTGGTTGTGCATGAAAAATCAGAAGATGAGTTAGAAGTTGAAAGTTTGTTCAATGATCTTGATTATGCTCTTCGAGCTTGCAATATTGGTGCTGATAAACCTACAGTGGTAAGGTCTTTTATTTTATTTTAATTTTAATTTTTTTATTTTTATGTCTGAATTTCATATTTAGCCATTTTTATTGTTCAGAAATGATCATATTCATTAAAACTGCATTTTATGAGATGAACACTATTTAATCTGGTTGATTGTGCTAGCTAGTGGGCGGGTTCGGGTTCATTCCACCTTGAATAGACCTCACTGGAGGTCCGGGGTTTGCACCCGATTTTTTAATCAGATCAGGATTAGAGTCTGATCTTCTTGCTTGGACACAGATTTAGCATAAAATTGGTTGTTTATCTTGTGTGCTTGAATTTTCTTATTGTTAACATGTTTTGGCTGCTGTAGGATTTTGAACAGTGGTGGGTTTGTTGATTTGATGAACGAGGATATCTGGATTTTTTTAAAATGTGATTTTCTATTGGTTGTGGAAATATGATTTAGTGTTGCAAAGGATTGTGTTTGATGGGAATATAGCTTTGTTGCTCAAATTTGGTGTTTTAGCAAAGGTGTACTGGAGCACTTGTTTTTTCATGCTTATAGTTTTTCTGTGAATTTCAAGAGCTCTTAGTGCTGTGGTAAAGCGGTTGAGCATTCTGTTCTGCTGTATTGCTATATGTTGTATCAGATTCACGCAAGGGTTGTTTGTATTTGGATTGCAGAAGGTAAACTTTTAGCTTTACTATCACTGCTGTATACTTGTTGCTGTTGTATGCTTAAGGAAGCTAGAGTCTTTTCCTTTTCCCTTTTGCCTTCCTCATTTTTGCATTAGGTGAGCTTACCGTGTCCAAAAGTTTGGCCATTGTCTCGAGGGATCCAAGTGGAAAGGGAATTGAGGCGGTTTTCATGTTGTGAATGAGATTTAAATTTGTCTAAGCTTGAATTATATCAGAACTTTCTGTTCATACAAAATTGGTTAAGCATCTTGTGTGCTAAATTTTTCTGCTTTCAATTATTATCAAGCTTTTGGCCAATTTGGCAATAACTGCTTCCATTAACACTGCATATAAGTGTATTTTTTCATGTCTTAAACACAAAGTCCGCAACCTGTCCCGCAGTATAACAATGATGGTGACAGTGAAGATGTTCCTTCTGATGATGCCATTTCGCAAGAGGAGCTTTGCGCTAAAGGGAAGCATTATCTCATTCATGATGATGAAATTGGAGTGATTTGCAAATTCTGCTCGTATGTACACTTGGAGATAAAGCATGTTATGCCAGATTTTGTAAGTTTGGCATATATTCAAGCTCTTATAATTAGATTGCTGTTGATAACGTACAGTGTTGTATAATCAATCAGTTTTCTCTTACATTTCCATTCAATTATGTTTATGATGTCGAACATTTTGATTTTGTATGTGAAGAACAAGGATCCATTTGGAATGGGGAACAGAAGAGACTATGGACGGTTCCTGTATAATAATAGCATGGCCTGTGATGGGTTTCAGTTTCATGACTCTAGCTATGATCGTCAAGGTGATCATTTTAGCCCCTCTGATGATATTCAAGGCACAGTGTGGGACCTCGTCCCTGGGGTTAAGAGGAATTTGTACCCTCACCAGCGTGATGGGTTTGAGTTCATCTGGAAGAACATTGCTGGAGGAATAAAGATTGATGAACTTCTCGAGCCTACTGCATCTGGTTTGGGTGGTTGTATCATATGCCATGCTCCTGGGACTGGAAAGACCCGTTTAGCTGTCGTTTTTGTTCAATCTTTCATGAAGCAATACCAAATGGCAAACCCTCTTATCATTGCGCCTAGTGTCATGCTCCGAGCTTGGGAAGAAGAGTTTGCAAAATGGAAATTTGATATTCCCTTTTTCAACTTAAATGAGAACGAGTTGTATGGGAAAGAGGACCCTGAAATCCAAACTTACGCCAGGGATACCAAAAACGACAAGACAATTCGATATATTAAGTTGTTGACTTGGGCCTTAGGGAAGGGTGTTTTGGGTGTTAGCTACTGTCTCTTTGCAAAACTTGCTGGTGAGGAGGGCACTAATAAGAAGGTTAGGGAAATTCTTCTTACAAAACCTGGTATTCTAGTGCTGGATGAAGGGCATATTCCTAGGAATGAGAAAAGTAACATATGGAAAGTACTGTCTCAGATATCCACAAAGAGACGGGTGATCTTGTCTGGAACCCCGTTTCAGAACAACTTTGAGGAACTTCATAACACAATTGCCTTGGTCAGAGAAGAAATTGGAACTCCGATTCTATCAGCATATTATGAACAAGATGATAGAAGAATCGAAGAGTTGAAGAAAAGGATTAAACCCTTTGTGCATGTCCACAAGGGGGAGATTTTAAGAGAGAGACTCAAGGGGCTATTCCATTCACTGATCATGCTAAAACCCTCTAATCTTCAGAAGAGGTGTTTTCAACACTTGGCCGGGAAGAGATTAAACAGATTTTTATATGATAATTTGGTCTCAATAACTTCTGTTCACCCTTCAATCTTTTGTGATGAGAATGTCAAGACACCTAATTTTGTCAATGATGCACTCATGGATCTTTTAAAGAAGCACAAAACAGACCTTAATGCTGGGATAAAAACCAGGTTCCTTGTTGAGCTCATCAAGCTGAGCAAGGGAGAGAGAGTGCTTGTGTTTGGCCAGTATATACCTCCCCTGATCTTCATAGCAGATTTGCTCAAAGCTGCTTTTGGTTGGAACATGGGTAGTGAATTGCTTTATATGCATGGGAAGCAAGACATGAAGGAGAGACAATCCATGATACGGCTTTTTAATGATCCTAAAAGTGAAGCTCGGGTTCTTCTGGCTTCAATAAAGGCATGTGGTGAAGGGATACATCTTGTGGGTGCCTCGAGGGTAGTTTTACTTGATGTTGTCTGGAATCCCTCTGTGGAAAGGCAAGCAATAAGCAGAGCTTATAGGCTTGGCCAAGAAAAAGATGTATTTGTTTATCACTTGATCACCTCAGAGACTCGGGAAGAAGAGAAGTATCAGCGGCAGGCTACAAAGGAGCGTTTATCAGAGCTAATGTTTTCTTCAGAGGAAAGCGTGGAGAAAATGAATACAAGGTCAAGGATTTCAGAAGACCGTGTGCTGGAAGAAATGATCCTTCATGAAAAGACGAAGCCCATGTTTGTGAAAGTTATATACCAGCCCAAAGCTGATAATCTGATCGAAAGCTTTAGTATGGACTCCTGACCTTGTAGCATGGTTCAGGTGGTAGTTAGTCACTTAGATCAGTTAGATATAGGATTCTGACTTTCCTGCCTTCCAGGTACTTTGGTGTTTTGATTGTATTTTGTCAAATGCCTGGGTTTCCAAAATGGAGCCTGAACAACTGTAAGTGCAATTTTTTGGCTCCAAATTATGTAATCTGGACTTTCTAACAGCACTTCTCTGCAAATCCACAAAATTGCAACTGTTATTAGATACCTGTTACATACATAATTCTACTAAGCAGGCCGTGAATTTTGAAGAGAGGTAATCTTGTTTCTGCTTCACATAGAAGCACCTATGCGAAGATTTTCCCTCTCGGGATGACTAATCATTTAACCACATTTAAGGGATAAAAAGGATGTGTTGGGGTAACACTGTATCAGCTTAAGGCTCTTGTTCAGGATTTATCCCATATCTGAATATTTTGGGTTAAATTTGCACAACAGTGGTTTATACTAATATTTGTCATTAACCTTCTGTGGGACTTTTGGGTACCCTATGTGTAATTAATTTAATCCTACAGCACTTGCTGAATTCTCAGTCCAGAGTCAATTCTGAGGATCTCAAGTTTCTGTTTGAATTTTATAGCAGATTTGCTATAATCTATTCTCTGTTTGAGTGTTTGACCATGAGGAGTCGATTGCTTCATGATGAGGCTTTTTTTTTTTATTTTTTTTTTTATTTTTTATTTTTTTTTATGATCCTTTAAGGCTCAGGTCAACAAAAGGCATATTGTCAAGGATCATTCCTCAACAGTAGTCTGTCTTAATGATAATACATTATTTACCAGCTAAAGGTTGATAATTTGATTGAAAGCCTTGATTTTTCCTGTAATAAACTAGAGAATGAATATACAAGTAAAGCTTATATGCTACGAAGTATTTTTTTAATGCTGAATCAGACGTAAACAAGACTTGATGCTGGAATAGATTGAATAGACAGGCAAATTTTTTACAAGTTGAAGCAGGCTATATGGATAAATGATATATAGCTGCTGTTCCTGAACAATGATCATACACCAACTATTCAAGTAAAAGCTACAACTACTACAAAAATGATGGCCTAGCCTTCAGCACCTTCGGTGCCATTTCCAGAACATCACTAATATTCAGCTATGTACATTTTGGTTTACAAGCTACAAAGATTGAGATTTGACCTTTTTGATCATCTACATCTGCTTTTACTGATTGTAGTAAAAAGCAGTTCTCATTCTCTTTTCTAGTATGGAGGCGAAGTATGAAAATCAAACAGCATTTGAGAAGCAAGGATATCAATTTGGGAATTGAATTCTGATCCTCCAGAAAATTCAAGTGCTGGCCTGTTGTGTTTAATGAGGAGTTTAATCAGACACATTGAAGCGATGTTTTACTGTCAATTCCTTTATGCATCCTTGTTTGAACAGCTTTCACAGCAGCCACTCGCGCTGCATTAGCTGCTCTATTAGCAGCCGCTACAACTTTGTTCACCCTGTTATCTACTGATTTCACCTTATATGCTCTTTCAGATGCTTGCCTTGCTTTCTGCATACAGAATAAGTGCAGAAAATTCAGAGACTGATGGCTACATTTTCCCAAGTTTCATCTCCTCATATTAAGAATATGGCCCAATTACTAACAACCTTATATTATAGTTATTTTTGTAGTTCTCTTCTATTTAATCAATCTTTATTAGTGGGAAAGTCAATCACATACCATTCATTAATCTCGGACATATTAATGAAGTATATGTGACTACTATACCTAGACGAAGGGAGTATAATTAGACTGCAGTAGCACTTGTCTGTGCTCAACAATAGACACCAAGACTAAAAAAATCAACAATATTTTCATATAATAGAGAAGTAGAGCGTTCTTTACCTGGATAGCAATAGAAACTTTGCAAGGGTAAGCTGAAAAAGGGGAGTCAGGCAGTTGAGTTTGACAGCTAGCCTTGACAAGAAGCCCATTTTGCCAGTAACCAGATTGAGCTTCCCATTTTCTGAAAGTGTAAACACCTAGCCCATGCCTTCTGCCCTCATGCCAGGAACCCTCATATTGGTGTCCATTGCCAAATTTGTAAACTCCAAAACCATGCATCTTATCAGCAAAGTATTCACCAGCATACAAATCTCCGTTTCTGCAAAATGAGTACGAATATCATGCGCTTAGCCTTTTGCTGGGATTAAAAAGCCACAGTAAATCATTGAAGTTCACAGCATCTGAGGTCTGTTCAATGATATCTTTTCTGACAGATTACAATCTACCAAATTCCAAAAGAGACTTTTTTTTTTTTTTTGAAGGCCAAATTCCAAAGACATTGCCATGCTACACAACTAATTTTATAGAACAACAGTGAAGAGCGTATCATTTATCCAGTGACTCTTATTAACAAACAGGTAGTACAAATAGAAGTCATTTAGCGAGTATCAGCATAACGTATAAGTTTCAATGTTGTTTACTAAAATAACTCTATAACCACAGCAAAAAAATTAATGCATGGTTAAACATGACACAAACAACACCATGATATGTTCTACTGTCAAGTGTCAACTCCACATATACAGCCAAACCAAGGAAATACTCCCTCACTTGCTAGTTAGCTAAAGACCAATAAAGAAATGTAGTTAAAGGATTACTAAAGAAGAAACACTTTTCTTAGAAGGCTCATACAACAACTAGCTTGTCTTTACAATTATAGATTATGAATTTAGTAGCTTACTCAAGGAAAAAAAAAAAGCAACAGAGAAGTTGCTAACAACTACCCTTAAATTTTATAAATCTGCTTCACCAACCAAATCATCCAGACAATGAAAGTAGTTAAAACATAAATCAGACAAACTTGTTTTTATATTGATTCTTCATTTCAACCTAAAATACTCAGCCCCAATGTTACAACACCCGACACAATGCACATTAACATCAAACACTTCCTTTTCCAAAAAGAAAAGGAAAAAAAAAAGGTGAATAAACCTCATCAAAACACTCAAGCCTCAACACCTCAAAGAGGCTCCTAGTCTCCTACCACTAACCATGGCAAGGTAGGATGCATTGGATACACGGTTATGCTTGACCTCACTTGTATAATAACCGATAATTTCCTACATTGATCCGAGTTCCAAAACACAATGCATATATGCTCCTTTACAATAAGCAAGCCTATGATAAGCTAATTGATTTACTCTATTATAGTCCAATCCAAACCCAAATAATAGTAAACTAATAATGTACATAAACACCAACAAACAACAATGTAACACATGAAACTTCAAACTACACAAAAAATACCACAAAACATTAAGCAACATAATAACAATTCTAAAACCAATCAAAATATTAATAAAACTAATTCAACCAAAAAATTACCTATATTGATGATAACCAAATCCATGCTTAACACCCCACTTGAATTCACCAACATACTTACTACCATCTTGAGAAGAGTAAATCCCACAACCATGAGATTGACCATTAGACCATTCACCTTGATAAACATCCCCAGTAAAAAACCTATAAATCCCAATTCCATGCCTTAATCCATTCCTATATTGACCCCTATATCTACTCCCTTTTGCCCATGTTTCAACTCCATAACCATCATACTTCCCATCTACCCAATCACCCTCAAATTTCCCACACAAATAATAGTGGTAGACCCCACTTCCTGAACACTTACCCTTATGAAATTCACCCTCATAAACATCTCCATTGCTAAAACCCTTTACACTAAATCCTGAATTTAGGGTTTTCTCCCATTTGGGGTTTGACCCAATTGTCCAAACAACAGGATTTGAGGAATTTAGGGTTTGATTTTTTACAGAAAGTTGAAATTGGGGGGTAAAAATTCTGGGTTGTGGGATGTGGGGTAGAGCTAAAGCTAGAACAAGAACAGCAAAAAAAGCAAATACCCAGATGAAATCGATTGAGTTTGAGATGAGAATGTAGAGAGAAGAGAGAGAAAGTAGGATTATAAGAAGATACAAAATAAGGGTTCTTTGGATCTTGCTGGTTGTATGGCTTAATCTTTGATAAAGATGAAAGGCCAAATCTTTTGGGAATGTTATTGAATCCATTGAAGAACTCTTTAGTGTTCTTTGATTGGTTGATTGTAAAATAGTGGAAGTTTTGCTCATCATCTAAGTCACAAATTTGAGATTTTTTTGGCTCATTTTATGGGAATTTGATATGTTGGATTTGGAGGAAAATGAAAGATAAAGGGTATTATTAATGATTTTTTTTTGGAAATTGTTGGATTTTAGGTTAGTTGATGGATTTAGTTATCTGTTGGTGGTTTTGCAAAGCAAAGTTAAGTGGCTCAACTCTCTTATATGAAAAGGTGATGGGAATGGGATGGTTGAGCTTATGGGTATGCAAGTGGGTCCTTAATTTGAAGGAGACATCATATCTATATTTTAATCCTCAAAATTATAATCTTAATTTATTTTATCTTGGTTATTATAATCATAATCTTATTCTGTATTTTAATATTGTACTACTACGTATTTTGTATTGGTATAATAACATCTTCAATGGTAAGCTACTTCTCAAATAAGCTTGCTATACCACATAGAATTTTAAACTATTTTTTTGTGTAGCTATTTTGTGCCTCAATGGTTAGCTAATGGCTTACTATTTAAACGAGCTTAACTTTCTTAATTATCTTTAAAAGTGTGTTTGGATAAAAAAAAAAGAGGAAGGTAAAGAAGGGGAGGGAGGATAAGAGGATGGGAGGAAAGAATGGTAAGATTTCCTTCCAAATATCTCAATTGTTGGAAGGATAATTTTTCTACAATTTAATCCCTCCATTTCTCTCCCCTCCAATTTCCTTCCTTCCTCATTTGTTATCCAAATGAAAGATATCACATCTCTCAATTTCTCTTCCCTTCCTTCCCCTCCATTTCCTTCAATCCAAACACACCGTAAAAGTTTAATTATATTAGTATATTAATATCTAAAATTTTAGGAACTTTTTTCTCAAGCAAATTAGCTTGGTGGCCTAACTAATTGTATTTTTTAGCTCCAATGGTCGAGCTAATAGCTAGAGACATTTGAAAATTACAAGCAAGTCCCTATCTATAACCATTGGAGTTGCTGTAAACAAATAAACAAAATTAATAAATTATATGGAGTGAAAGGGTCGATGTCTTTATGAGATTGTATGTGTTGGCAAATAGAAATGATGTGATTAGGATATGTTCAATTATTGGTATTTAAACGTATGATGTGTATAAGTGTATTATATGCTTGAAGAATCTCAAATAGAGTGTTGATAGTATATTTTAAGGGTGTAATAATTGACATATACAGTATATTATATGGAAATATATCAAATATTTTATCCTGTAATCATAGCCAAACAAAATACGTAGTACTATTTTTTTTATTAAAACAATTTTGGAGTAACAAATATTATTAAAACAATTTTGGAGTAACAAATATGATATGCATAAAGAAGCTTGAAGAAGAATAATTCATTTAACTAATCCCTCCAACCCAAACAACATTGATGGATTGAACTTTGGTTCACATTGATCTGGTACAACTGATTTAGTCAATTTAGTACCAAGGTGATAACCATAATTAGTTGACAAAGTTACGTCAATATTATTCAATTTGTGCTGTCAAAAAAAAAAAAAAAAATCACATTGTGATATGACTAATGAGGATGCAAATTATGATACGGTGTATTAAAAATGGCAAGTTGGTGGCCAATTATTAAACTCTTTCTGTCCCTTTTTTAATTGTTTCATTATTATAAAATTCATTTTTTTTTAAAAAAAAAAGACAAATTATGTATAAACGTATAAGATTAGAATGAAAAAATTTACGTAATCAAATTACAAAATACCTTAATAAGACGTAATACAAATATAGGACAAATAAAAAGAGACTCAACGAGTATTACAATACAGATTAATGGGAATATGTCCCTGTCATTTTCTCCAAATTTCAAAAATAAAAAATGTAAAATTAGTCAATTCAAAAGAACATTGAAAGCAAAAAGGCAAAGCCTCCATATTTCATAATATAATAGGAAAAAGGGTAGTGGATAGGATAGGATTAAGCGAATTTTAATGTTTTGATTTTGCTCTTATCTTTTTGCCTTGTTGGCCCCTACGCCATGCTTCGCATGTTTTATATCTCCGTATGCATGAACGTATGATTTGAGCCATATGTTTGAGATTTTGCAATTGGAACTTGTTTGAAATTTTCCAAGGACTATTTTAGTCAATAAATTGTGACGTGAGGCAAGTAAATGATTGTGTTGGTCCTTATAGATAGGTCATTTCCCGAAAGGTATATCGAGTACTTTGTATTAAATAGAGTAATTAACGATTATGCATGTTAAGGTTAAATAGGAAGAGGCCCAGGTTAATCACTGGAATAAACAAAATTTGTTTATCACATGACATTTCGGTAAATAAATCAACAACTTTATCTGGTCATCATCATTGTGGGACCCGCTTTTATGGAAAAACTTATTGGTTTATTTACCAAAATGCCATGTGATAAACAATAATTGTGTATCTCAGAGATGAACTTGTATTTACCTGTTAGGTATAAGGATTAACTTTTATAAAAATGAGTATTAAACACATTATATTATTACACATTATTTGGTATAATCTGGCTCCAATCTAATTTAACAAATAATTTAAATTACTAAAGAGTAATTCTAATTTAGGAAAAGATTTGTTGATACTCTGTAGTTTGACACGGAGTACTATCATATGTAGTGTAGTTGATCGCTATTTTACCTACAAATAACCCTCATTTCCTCAAACCACTGGATTACCTCTACTTTGTTAAATTCTTAATGATGATGTAAAACTAACAACATGGAGTAATAATTTGTTGATATTTTACAGTTAAACTACCAAATACTAGTCATCGAAATATTAAGTGACACAGTTGGAATAAAAAGCTTAGTTAAGGAGAGAATTCAAGTTTAACAACATAATATTTTGTTGATATGTTTATCTAGGGGTGTCTGTGTAATTTCACAATATAAATGAATGGACAAAGTTGACAATTCAGGTTTATGGTCACAGGGGGATGTTAACATGCAATGTAGACGACAATTAACCTTTGGTAACCCAAGGTAGAAAGAAAATCATCATGAAGTGGTGGTAAACTTTACTTGCGAGATTGAGAAGAACGGAGGAGGCATAGCTAGTGGCGACGTGTTAGAATCCGCCTCTTTCTCTATGTATCCCCTTCCTTTTCCCTTATATTTTCCTTATGTATTGTCTTTTAAGTCTTTCTTTATGCTTTCTAAGCTCTAGGTAAAATTATTGTGTTACTGTAGTTTCAGTGTTTACTAGTAATTCTCTATGTAATCAATATAAAGCTTTTTAAGGAGCGAATGATTGAATAAATCCAAGCTCCCTACCTGGTTGCAATGTTGCATATTGTTTTAAGACGTGTGTTGATTTAAGCCTTAATAGATATTGTGCTTGCCTTGTTTTAAAGCATCCCTTCCAAACCAAGAAAACTTCAAAAGACACCCTTGTTGTCGTCGGTCCCGCTTGTGCCCGCTTCGAAATATCGGCTGTTACAAGCCCCGACTTTGCACTCGTCGTAGACGCGTGCTTCCTTGAGATACAATTGGCCTGTGTTGCTGTGTGCTCACGTACCCTTTCCGCCCTAGGCTTGCGTTCTTATCGCCAAATGACAAGAGCACGTCACATGATCTGGTGTCAAAACATCCGGACTGTGACACGACGACAGTGGCCGAGTAGGTCTTACTGCCTTATATGATTGATCAAACAGGGTACAACCTCTAATCGGTTTATTAGGCACGTTATAGGGTGTATCGAAAACTATGGTGATTAATCTGGATTCTCTTCTTCAATTACACTGATTGGTTGGTTGTCATTGAGCTTTGAACACATTCATAAAACTCACTTCATCACTCCGTTATTTGCAAGGGAAGTTTCATGAATTGCAGGAACTACGTTGTGGCAATAGTTTCTGTAAGACTCCCATCCTCCGTTTTTTTCTTCAAATTCTATATCTTCCATCCTCGATTGCAAGAAGCTGTATCAACTAGCATAGGGGGTTCTCAGCTGCATCAAACATGAAAAAAGCTAGCCCAGAAAAGTTGAATAGAAGCACACTGAAAAATCATATACTTGAGCGGTCCAGATGCCTAATCTACAGTAAACTGTGTTTAAAATTCTTGTATTTCAGCCAAACATCGTACATTCTTTTACTCAGAAAAATCAAGACTTAGGATGAACCCAGAGTACAGATTATAAAATACACAAAAAATTTTACTATCAGGAAGAGAAACTTGGAGGGAGCCAGACTTTCATACTACGAAGATCAAGGGTAAAAAAAACACTACAATATAAATTCAAGACTTCAGGAGAACAGTACAAAGCTTACAAACGCTCTTCAATAGGCAGCTAAAATTGTAAATAGTAATGACAGGTTAAGTGCAGTATTTAAACTGCTATTTTTTTGGGGGATGATACATTTACGGCAAATATAGCATTTAACCCAGAAGTAACAATTTCCTAGTAGCTTCAAAGGTTTTTGATCTCGCATCTCCTTGAAATTCAACATCCAGCAGCATTCCTCCCGTGGTATACAGAGGTCATGAGCTGCAAATTTGCTTTAGCCTGCAGAATCTTCCCACTGTCATGGCTTGTGAAGCTTAAAACCGAACACCCTTTGAGTATAGCTCTGACTAGGTTTTTGAGGCTTAAGATGTGGGTATGTCATCAAAAAGAGGTGAGGAAAGGTTGTTCCAAAATACGCTCCATCAACATCTACAACCCGTTAAAGAAAACATATAGAAGGATGAACTCATGTGCAAATAATTTGTAGATCACTTAAACCACTAAGAGGCACATTTGAACCACGCAAAAAAAAAAAAAAAAAAAAAAAAAAAAAAAAAAACGGAAAATAAACTGAAGCAATGAGCTAAACCACATCTGGAAAGGAATGCTGAATGATCTACAATTTTCCATGGCAAAGGATAAAAATAATGCAACAGTCAATTCAATCTCATTTACATAGACAATCACATTAACACCTAAAACATATTTATCCTTATGCCACTTCAATGCCAAAAGGATTAAACAGCTTAATCTAGTGAGCAATAATAAGAACCAATTACTTGGAATCAGTGAAGGGAAGGATGAGACAAAGTAGCTGATTAAATTCTACACGCAAAAACAGCATTTATAGATGCACATCCACACCCAACAACGGTAAAGTCAAAAACAGGGCAGGCAATGCACATAAGAGTTACTAAATGAAAGCAAACAAGCAAGAGTAAAGAATGCCCAATAAAGTAAAGGATACTGCCTTGATACTTGGATCGAGGGTAGTAAATATCTTCACATTTAGGACAGTAGATTTTTACGGTGCTTGATCGAGCAAGATCTGATTGTCCAACTGGAAGGCAAGGTTGTCCACAGCAATAAACCCTTGGACATCTCCCAAAGTCATAATTTTTGTATTTCTCAAGCTGTATGCCCACAGAAAACCCTGTTAGTATTATAGCATCCTAGGTATGACATGATGTAACTGGGAAACAATTCTCACCATTGCAGTAATCCCTTTGCTTGTCAATATGTATCGAGCATGGATTAAACCATATAGCATTTCTGCTGCAGATTCAACCAATTCATTCTGTTCTTCAGTAAACATATCACCTGTACAACAAAAACATATATTCCTTGTAAGACCAAACATTAAACTCAGAAAGCACCATTACTATATTTGCAACCTGTACACAATACATAACAATTAAAGCAGTAATTCGTATTTTTAAATTGATCCACTAACAGAACCGGATAACCCAGTTACAAGTTGTCCAAAGACAGAAATAAGTGCTTGCAGATAGCAAATATGTAGTTATGTACTCCCTCTGTCTCTACTTGTTTGCCCATTTCCTAATATAGTAACAAGTGCCTACCATTTACCCCATTGGCATACTCAAAAAGTGAAAAAGACAAAGATACCCATCTACTTGCAAAATTTTGGTTCAAGCCCTAATAAACCACAAGCAATACTAATTTGTTGCTGGCTAAGCATGTAGACTCAGCATAAGCCACAAGTCCTTAAAATAACTCGGCGCTCAGTATTACTAAAGAAAAATATTTATTATCTCTAACAAGTAACCAATGCACAGTGTGATGGGGAAGCATTTACAAAACAGGCTTAGAATTTTAAATTCCTAGGGAAAGAAAATGCCACGCAAACATACAGGAAATATTCAGAAAACACATTATAAGCTTGACCATCTCAAGGGAAAGGGGGGGGGGGGGGGTGGGGTGGGGGGGGGGTAAGTAGGCGTAAAGCTTTGAGCTAACCGTGTGAAGATTCCACATCAAGTATCAGATCTAGAGCATAGTCATAGTAAGGAACTTGACTGCTTAACCCACACAAGTTAAAATCATCTTGGATGTAATCATCATCAACTTCACAGAAAAACTCATTGCCTCGCAAGTTGCAAAACCATGAGATCCAAGAAGTGTCATCGCCATCAGACCCACTAACATCAGACTCTTCACTATCTGTTTCAGATTCGTCTGCAAGTCAAGAGGTAAAAACATCAAGAGGGCAAACCCAAAAAATTAAGGGGAAAGTCAGAAAACAAAGAGAAGGTAAAAAACAGCCAAAAAAAATGTTAATTGTGCATTTAGCGTTTCTACCATAGTCAAATTAACATGTGTCGGTGGAGGAGACGCAGAAAATAGAGAAAATATAAAGGTTGAGAAGCCTGATTCAAAATCAAACTATGCAAATATAAAGACCTTCCAATATTGTTAAGATTCTCCCCTCAGGAAATAGTAGTCACGTAGTTTCTACCCTTCAAAACTAACATGACATTCTTTTACGGAGTCTTTTATAATAGTTGAATCTACACTATCATCACCCCACACCAATTTAAGCAAACCTTAGCTATATTAAGAAAGGTTTAAGATTGGTTCTGAACATCTTAACCATGCACTATGTGAATATTAATTTTTGAAATAAGGGAACATTCCCAAAAGTGAAAAGGAAAAATCACTAACACCACTTTATCAAAATAAGCAATTAGTTTTGCAACTACAAATGACAAAACAATTCACCTGTATGAATCAGCTAAACCAGAATCAGCTAAACCAGACCCTCGTCATCGATAAATATTAGTGTTTTGTTCAGAAAAGTTTTACTAGAAACAAGATAACTCAAATTAGTGCATTGAAGTGCTCATTCCTTCCACCTCAAACATTAGTCCAAACTCTCATGTGAAACAGTCTAGTTAGTGATTAAACCCTAACATAGGTATATCCCAGCTTTCAATCCTTTTCCGAGATTGATTACCATTTACTACTATCAATACATTAAAATTGAAAATGGTTCATAAAATAACAGATTTATCTGGAACATGTACTTACAAAATCAGTCATTCACTCCCATACATACATGTTACTGCTTATTACGCTAAATAGTCTAGGAAAGCTTTACAAGACCATATCTATCAAGTCCTTATTTTGGAGATGAAATAGTCTAGGAAAAAGGTCAAAAGACTAAAATCAATATCAAAGGCAGCCCAAAATTTTACGAATACAATATAGGGAATTTCTTGTTCAAAGGCGAATTATCCATCCTCATTCTCTTCCTCACGAAACTCTATTTCCCTTGCCTCATGCAGCTTCTTAGTGCTTATTCCTCCCTTCCCAGTTCCCATGCGTCACATAAAAACCTTTCCTTCTCATGTGGCTCGAAAATTCACCATTGAAGAAGAAGCTAGAGATGTTATATATTTTTATCATCTAAAATATTTTCAAAGAACCTAATAATTTTTGTGTCCTCTCCTTTATTTCATTGAATACTATGGAGGAGTTCACATTAACACCTTCTTGTACCAAATTTGAAGCACCCTCAGTCTAATACCTCACATAACTCATTTTATTCAAACCCCTTTGACAAGGCACATAATAGTCAACTTTATCCCTTCGATTAAATATCTGTCATTCGATAATCAAACAAGGAAAAAATAACACTTTCCCCAATTACATGTAGAAAAATAAAAAAAAATAATAATAAAAAAATCCATGAGCATATACATGATGCAGGAGAATCAATATAGAAACATGTCACTCAAAATAATCTTAATGAATCCTTTCCAAACAAAAAAGTGACCCGAAATACACGACCATCTAAGCAAATCAGATCAAAGTAGATTCATTCAACTCAAAATACACAACCATATACCAAAAACACCAAACGTCAATACATCATTAATCAAAATTTTCAAAACACATCAAAATGTACCATTTCTTCCTATAAAAACCACACTAAAACAACAAAATCAGCTGAAAATAATCAGAAAACACAACATTCCAAAAATAGAAAAATTTAGAAATCCAGGAGAGAGAAAGCTGAACATACCATCGGAGCAACGATTCTTGGAGAGAGGAACAGCGCGAGAATCTCTCTGATCAGACGGCTGTTTACCACCACCACCAGTAGCACTGATAATAGACTGTGCCGACAATCTATCCTTATCTTTACCATTCAATCCTTTTGAAGTCGAAGGCGACGATCTCTCCAAGTGTTTATCCAACGCATCATTGATCCTTTTCCGATCCACCGCACCCATCTCCGCCTTTGATCCTCGATCCTTATACATCTCTCTCTCTCCCCCCAAAACTTTTTCACACAAAGTTCAATCAAACAAACAATCAATCACTCACTCACTCACTCAATCACTTACTCAATCAATCACAGTTTATTTGAAGAATCGGGTATCTACAAGCAGCAATTCTTCAAGCTTAACCCTAAATAAACGTTAAATTAAAAAAAAAAAGCTAGTGATACACACAGAAAATGGTGGAATAAACATAGAAATTGGAACCCTAGAATTGAGAAATTGTGGGATTTGAAATTAGGGTTGTTGGTGAAATGCGAAACGAATCGAAAGAGAGTGAATCGGCGAGAAGAAGAGGAGAGAGAAAGGGGGGAGAAATTAGGGTTTAGGAGAGAGAAAGGAGAATGGAGAGCTTAGCCATCTCTCTCTCCTCTGTTTCGCTTCTCTCGTGTTCTATTTTTTTTTTTTTTTTTTGGGGGAAAAAGGTGGGGAGAAGATATTTTATTTTCGTTCTAATGCTTTGATTTGCTTGTTTCGTTTGGGCGTTTGTTAGATGGTTTCTTTTGGGTGGATTCAAATATGAAACGGGGGATGCTAGAAACTCCTCATAGTGGCCTGGAATCGTGGTTCTAAGTTCTAACCGTTTGTTTTGCCCAATGCCTAATGAGCACATATTTGAAAAGTATGGACCCACAACCTCGTTTTATAGATTGGAAATATTGTTAATGTTAATTTGGCTAACATAAAATTTACAATAGATGTATAGAATGGTGAAATACTCCATTTTCCCCGTTATTAATATCTGCCTGCGGGGAAAAAGAACAAAAAGAAATAGTAAAATCTCATAATTTGCGATCTATTCATTCAATATTTCCTTTTTTAGTGGACAAATTCTTCAATACTTGTTTGGCTAACATAGAATTTACGGTAGATACATAGAATGGTGAAATAGAAATATTAATTAAGAAAAGAAAAATCGAAGAGTTATTTTGTTGATATGGATACAGCACGTTTAACACAATATGTATGGAACTAACCAAGTGTTGACTTAGTTTTAAGGGAAAAATCTTTGAATTAGGAATACTTTGATACTACATAGTAAGATTTCCTTACCCTTTTTCCCCTCTTTTAAAGTGTCTAGCTTGCTTTCTCAATCCAAGTCAACCATTAATAGGTTTCAAGTCGACTAGGCAATTCTACTTACTCACCGGGAAAAATAACTGCATAAAATGTAAATTGCTATAATTTAATGATGATGATTAAAAAATCTACTTTGAGTTCATTAAACAAACAAGGCAAATTCAGACAACATACAAGCTGAAATAGTCATATAGTAACTTGTTTATTATTCCCAAGAAATATGTAAATAAAAAATTAAGTACCGAGTATTATACAACTGAAGTGATTAATTTTTATTTACTTGATGTGCTAAGGTACTTTGTCATAATGTTATCCAGATAGTGACAATAAGAGAGTTTCCAAGCTCAACGAAAGGCAAAACAGTTGGCCAGAAGACAAACTATACGACTAGTGTTTGAACTAACCAAGTTAGGGGGGACAAAACTGTAAACATAAAACTACAAAGCTTAAACACTTTCCTACAACAATGTACAAACAGTCCCATGCGACTGAGTTGTCAACAGCCCACGCATCTCTGCGCCTTGGGTGGCCTAGGCAAGCTTTACTCTTCTGTAAGAAGAGCTCTCATAGTAATATAACATTCAATACAGGCCAACTTCGACAACAGCAGGAATCACTCTGATCAGTCTTCTTCGAAGTACTTTTCCTCAGCATCGCAATTGGCTTCTTTTGACCAGTGATCATCCAAGGTCTCATCTTCATCTATCTTGAAATAATTAACATGTTCATGATCTTGACCAGATAAGAATTTCTGCTGCATAATGTAAGTGAATTGATCCAACTGCTCCTGCAATTCTGCAGGAGATAACACTGGTCTCTCAACATTCATGGAACTGGCGGTAGCAGTGCCATCGGTTATTCCATTTTGATCATGCACAGGCTGCACCTGCATAAGTTTTAAGAGAAAACAACAGTGAAGTGTCAGGAAAAGGCCATGATTTGTTCTATGCATGTCAATATTAAAAGCTTCTTGAAGCCCACAAGATATATAATGACTTTGATGCCACACATAAATAAAAAGTAAACATCTATCATGCCAGAAATACAACCTTCTCTGGGCAATAACTGTGTAGAAGCCAAGGATGACATAGAAATATGACCACCATTTCAGTGAATACTTCCTCAAATTAAAAAACTTAAATTTCAAACAATTTTAGGGTTCAACAGAAGCACAGAGCAGGAGAGAGGATCAAGAAACGGCATTTTCAGGAGGAATATCAGCAAAATATTAACAGCTTTCTCTTCTACCCTCTCAGCAATCTTCACTCTGGTAATAACATACCGCCATGCCGTACTGACGATACCGTCACTGACCTAATACTGGATCATCACTAATTAAGTAGCTACCTAGCAGCCATCATGAAAATAATCGCTTCTTCTCCACGACAATAATCGACCCTGGTTGACTAGTGAGTTTCATGCTACCTTTTACTGTTCCATTACCTCCACCTAAGATCTATACTCTATAAGCATGTGGTTTTTTTTTTGTTTTTTTTTTCTGGTGTGTTTGTCTTCATGTCTACAATTTGTATTTGAAATATGAATTATTAACATCCATTTTTTTTGTCCCAAGTGCCTTTGTCAGCTTTATCCCTTCAAGTTATTTAAATTGTATAACATGAGTGAGAATAATTGAAAAAAAGTACTATGTTAGCAAGTCATTGAATCCAACAGTAACTTATTGTGCAACAAGTTTCGCTGCACTAGTTCTGTAGGTATTCAATTTGGCATAAGTAAATGTCGGTACTGATTATTTATTACGTTCCAACAAAGGTGTTTTTACAAGGAAACCCCAATATACACATACATCATCATCAAAAGGAAGCCCCAAAATACACATACAGCATCATCAAAATCATGTATCCCATGCTCTCATTCTTAAAGAAAATTCATAAATAATGTTCATTTTGTAGCTTTTGTAACCAAATTTGGTGTTCCCTGACCACACATACCTATCAACCTAGACGTATGGACAACCATGTCTTGCTACTATTTCCTGCCTTGACAATCTTAATATCTAGTGTTACCTACAACTTTGTATACTCAGATACATGAAAAGAGTAAGGAATATAATTGCTATAACCTACTATGTTTCAACATACAAGGCACCCATGCTTTTCAATATTTAGCTTTGACAACTAGTTTCTTTCTATTTATACGGATAATATATACCACAAAAATTATGTTTAAAACTACTATCATCGTTTTATCTATTACAAGATCACATGAATACACTCAAAGAAAATTCAAAGATCATATGCAATCTCCGAATACACGAAAGCCTATGAAATAATTAAAAAAAAAATAAAATGCAAAAAAGCCAACACTAATATTGCACCATACAAATTTCCATACTAAGATAAACATCAATACTGTGGATACTTGAAGAGTTCTACTTATTAGGAAAAATTCGAAGGAAATATACTTCAATCAAGTAAAGACAGAAATAACGTTAATCTCAAGCCTATGTTACTCTATCTTTACATATCCAAATTTTGGTACAAATTGTATTTTTTAGCAAATATGCATTTAACTATCAATAAAGGCAAGATGGAAATAATTAGAAACAAAAACATGTAAGTGATAATTTGATTGTGCTAGAGATAAGAGGACAGGCAAGCAGCTGTTGAAAGTTAGGAATCACAGAAAGTCAAATCTTTAATCAAAAAAGACATGGCTCCAGAATACCAGAGAACATAAATCCTTTAATTCTGAGGTTAATCTACTGAATACTGATGCTTTTAATGAACCTATGCCATTTCTTTTGCTATTTCAGACCAGAGGCAATAAAATTGAACTGAAAATTTGCTAATACAAAGGTAATATAAGTGTTGTAGGCAAATACCTTTAATTAATCTGTAAAGTACAGGAATATATATAGCCTTCACTACTACAAGAGATTATTATATAAAGGTAGTAGAAGTGTTGAAGAATATCATCACATAGCTCAAACATAAATAGCCTTACTATTACAAGAGATCAGCTACATACGGAATACCCATGTATGACACCTTAACCTGACTACTCTAGACCAAAGTCTAAACCTAATTCCCAATATATTGCTTATGTCTGGTCATATAGAAGTAATAAGGGTTCAACCCATGTGATGTGCATACTGACTTGTTAGAAGCTTACATGTATTATGTAGCAGCAAATTTTAAAAAGTACAGAGACACAGACCAGCAGTAAATTATAATCATTTTATAATTTTCCATTGTTGGTTATTTGTTATTGTCGGTTGACTCTTACGAGTTCTATCCTTATAGTTCCTGTTTCGAGTACCCTTTAAATCAACCTTTCCTTTCATTATTCATAAGAGCTACTGTTAATTCTTACGAGTCTTATCCTTATAGTTCCTGTTTCTATTACCCTTTAAATCCACCTTTCCTTCCATAATTTCATAAGAGCTTCTGTCAACTCATACTGAATTCATCTAAGGTTTGAAAAGAACAGAATAAGCAGTTCAAGGAGTGAATTACCTCTGAAGAAGTAGGTGCACCATTCGCATGACCATTAATTTTCTCATCCTTATCTTCATCTTCCTCCTCCTCCTCCTCCTCTTCTTCTTCTTCCTCCTCCTCTTCATCTTCCTCCTCCTCCTCCTCTTCTTCCTCCTCCTCTTCTTCCTCCTCCTCTTCCATTCTGTTTGCTCCTTCATTACCAACCCATTCACTCTCATGAACACCTAACCTCTGCTGCTCACCTCTGATCTTTGTTAGCAAAATAGCTTCCTCTGCTCGTCTCATTAAAGTTTCTGACCACCGCTCACCAGGCCTGGGCATGCTTCTCCCGTAAGGATCTTGAAACTTACCCACATACTCATGGTGCAAATATGGTTCCCTCTCTCTCATGGCATCCTCGGAAAAGTAATTACCTTCACTCATGAGCTTATCCATGTATGCGCTTCTTCTGTTCTTTTTAGTTAATAACTGAACACGTCGTTGCTCTGAAGTTGGGCTAATCTTGCTTCTTAGATGCTTTAAGTGCCAATTAATTTCATAGTCATCTTTTAGGACATCAAACTCTTGAAGTTCTTCAGATGTCAATCGTGGCCCATACCGTTCTACAAAAAAACGAGAAAAAGGTTTAGTGCTGCATTACAAGGGTCACATATCATTTCTCAGGGATTATTGGAACTTGCAATCAATGATTACAATAATATACGAAGTATTTGCTTACTTACTAAAATGGTTAAACTGAGAGGAATAAACTCATATTCAAGAGAATGATCATATGACTTTCAACAAGGAAGAGAAATGATGAAAACAGGAAACAAAATTATTAGATCCACAAGGGAACATGTAAAGGATTATTTATTCAATTATTTAGTATCTAGGGATAGGAGGCAAACCCAATGACGCATTTAAAAGAATACTGCCTCATTCTAGTCACACAATACAAGTTATACAACACAATAACATAATCTGTATGTGACTATTATATTTGACACGAGTACAATGATATAATTTTTATACCTCAATCCGAGGCCTTATTTTTTAAAAGTAGAAAGAAAAGTTAATGTGGCACACTGGCACTGCACTTTCAATCATTCCTAAAAAGGGAAAAGCAGCATCCCTCTCACAACCCAGCAATTGTATTACAGAAAAGTAGGATTATAAGCTAGTTGCAAGATCACTACATAAAGTCATTCATTTCCACATCAAATTTTGTTTCTTCACAAAAACATAGGTTTTAAGTTCATAAAATCATACTGTAATCAGCTTGGCAACGATATGGCAAACAAAACGTTTGCAACAATTGCACAAGTCGAACCATTTTTATCTAGCTCACTTACACCCCCCCAACCCACCCGCCTCCCCAACAAACAACACGAAACGTACAAATTGGTATAATGGATCACTTTTAGACTATTTTAACAAAACTAGGTAATGAATTGCGTTCATGGTCCCACGTCAACTACCAGGCATACCAAAAAGCTAGGTACTTAGGTAGTAGTAAGCAAAACTAATCCACCAAGATAGTTACAAATCTTCACAATGTAGAAAAATTTGCCTCTTTTTTCTACTACATTCTCTTCAAAACATAGGTGATATTCAACTTTTGCGATCAGCGTTGGTTAAATTAACCTAAAACAATACATTGAATTTGAATTACACACAAACTCACAAATTCTATATTTATCTCAATAAATACAAAATGTAGTGATCAAATCAATAACTTGAATGCGGCACAATATTACTGAATATCAATCACCCATTTCAGTAATTAAGAAGAAACGCGCCTCAAACTCTCAATTAATTGAAATACCACTAAGAACAAATTCAACCCAACACCCCAGATTTTTTTTTTTTTTTTAATTATTATTATTAACTCAAGATTAAACAACAACATTAAAATTCAAGCAAACAACAATTTGAAGAAATCAGAGTAATAGAAATTAGAGAGAAAATACCTAAGAAAACGGGAACATCGCGGTGGAGGAGGTCGAGAAGGAGGGATTTGCGGAGTGAAGGGGTTGCAGCTTTAGAAAGAAGAGCTTGCGGAAAATAGAGATTTTCGAAAGCAGATAATCTGTCAGTTATCTTCTCCATTGCTTCTTTCTTCACCTCTCTTCTTCCTTTCTCTTCTTCCATCTTTCTCTCTCCTCTGCTTTCTCTACCTTCTGCAATTGCTGTTGAGTTTATTTTGTGTTTGTGTTTTTTATTTTTTATTCTTTTTATTTTGAGTTCGTTCTTCTCGGTTATTCCGTGTCGGTTTGTATAACCGTACCCACACGTCACTTACGGGTAAGTGGGTAATTACTTACAGATATCATTGGACCGTATTTGAGTCGTGTTTAGACAATGAGTTTAAGTCACGCAAGTAATGCAACTAGTTAAGAGTGAGGAATAGCTTAAGTTGTTAGATCTGCTCTCTCGATTCCAAGAGATTTTGGGATCGATCCTTATTGCTTGCCTTTGTGGCTCTCTAAATACCAAAAACTGTGTTTAATTATGAAAGAGCGATATCTCAAGTGGTTAGAGCTCCCTTTTCCGGTTTCAGGTGATCATGGGATCACATAAATATTGGTGGTTTTTAATTTTCATATGAAAGTGTTTACAAAATTTACTTTTTCCTTTTTCAACCCCTACTACCCAAAACAACAGCTAATTCACTTTCCACTTTTAAAAAAAACATTTTTGAAATATACTTTCAAGTGAAATTTAATCATTTATCCAGCACGTATACTCTCACGTACACTAATTTACAAATACATGTCATTTAAACTTACCTTGTCTCTCACCTACAAGTATAATTACTACGTATGTAGAGTGGGATTATTGGAGGTGATGAAAAGACAAGTAAATATAAATAGGCACATGGCATAGTAGTTAAATCGATGCTATCAACTATTTAGAGGTTAGGTAATATATATATATATATATATATATATATATATATATATATATATATATATATATATATATATATATATATATATATATATATATATATATATATATATTGTATGTATGTATTGACATATGTGCTTACTTGGTGGTGGACTTTATTTCACAATTATTCATGATTCCTATATTCTTTTTACTTGCAACTCACCCCATAGACACGCAATTTGAGGAATAGATCAAAATTGCCCTCTCAAATCTCCCCTTAAACTTAAACTGTGTGTCCATGCATGACATAAAGTAAGTTGCAAGTAAAAAAGAATTAGAGGATAAAATTAATTGATTCTTGATCATTGTTATGTCAAGAATCAAAATCAGAGCTAATTGATTATTCCAAAAAGAAATCTTATTATAACATGTATATATCCAATCAAAGCTAAAGTATTTCGATAGAATTTCACTTCGATAAGAATTAGGATAACGATGACACTGGTAGAGAGCTTATTAATACTTTTAAATTTTGCATTTCTTACAACAACATTGTAGTAATTAATATCGTTACGTTGGTCATATAATTTTACAAAAATTATTGGTGGGAGCAATAATATTGTCTGATATTAACAACCTTATTTTTACTAACATTAAAATAGGGTTATGGATGAGGGTTTCGGATAAGGGTTAAAGATGGTAAGGGTTAAAGTTAGGGTTTAGGGTTAGGGTCTAGGAATTAGGATTTAGACACCATGTGTAAAAATTATTTTGATAAATTAGGTCGTTTACATCATATAATCTTAAACTCAAAGTGCGTGCCACAAGGTTGTGTTATAAACATTTAAAAACAGAGGAAGAAGAAAATTAGAAATGTTGGAGTAGAGGACAAAAAATAAAAGTATTGTTACCAAAATGTAAATTTATCTCCAAAGGTTTTCAGTAAATCGTTAATAATGTAATTTTTTGGTTACATAACAAGCTCGACCAACTTTACATTAGCCAAATTGGCAGGCTGATGAACTGTGGTAACTGTGGTAAGCCAAAATTGTCATCAGCTTAGTTACAACTGACATAAATTGCATTGCTGATATACCATTCGGATGTACGCATCAAGATGAAAAAAGAAGGGGAAAAAACCAATCTAAGATGGGCATTTACCTAAGAAAGCTATCTAACTTCAGTCTAAAAATGTGTCATATAATCAAATTGACTTAACAAAGTGCCGTATGTCCTGTATATTTTTGGAGTTTTGAAACTCCATTCTCCTTGTCATCGCATATCAGACTGCATTTGCTGATACAGCTCTAGATGGTGAGTAATCTCGTCTGGACAGGAGTTTGCCAGTAGGAGCTCCAAACGGGTGAAGGGTGGAGCAAACTGCAATATGTAGTCTTCACCTGTAATGGCAGAGATACACAAGCATAATGTCGAGTCACAACTATAATCCAAAGGCAAGAAAAAACTAATAATATCCCCCCTCCCCACCCCAAAAAAAATAAAAAAATAAAAAAATTTAATAACATAATAATTAGATTTTTCACATCCCCACCATACCAATGTAATCAATGTTGTTTTCATGAAAAACAATTTAAAAGGGTAATACTTAGACCTGGCAAATGGGTCATTCGGGTCGGGTCAATTTCAGGTCGGCTAACATTCGGGTCGGGTCGATTCGGGTTTCGGGTCAGGTCAATTTCGGGTCAAGTATGTTCGGGTCAGGTCAAAATCTGGTCGGGTCATGTTCGGGTTATTTTGTATGTGAATCAAGCTCAAATGAATAATTTTATACGGATTATATATTTTGTTATTGTTATAATAAAAACTATCAATTCAGTTTATGAGCTTAGCTACGGTTGAAGATGAACAATTAGAGTTACTTTTGGTACAAGACATTTTAAATTCAATTATAAGGTAATTTTAGTTCGGGACATATCGGGTATTGGGTCTGTTCGGGTCAATTTTGGGTATCGGGTCTGTTCGGGTCAAACACTTCGGGTCAACTTCGGGCCGGGTCAGGTTCGGGTCAACTCCATTTTCGGGTCGGGTATGGGTCGAGTAGGATCAATTTCGGGTTTCGGGTCATTTTCGGTTCATTCGGGTCGGGTCGGGATTGCCAGGTCTAGTAATACTACTATTTGAGACAGAGTGAATCCCGTATTGAATTCATGCTGTGAAGAGAGGAGGAAGAATGCCTAATTTTAAAATTTGAGCTCATTTGCAACTTCCTCACAAGTCACCCCAAGATAAAAGTCTCGTAAAAAATCTAAAGACAGATAATTCTTCGTAGTCGACATACTGGCATGAAATACAAAACATACCCTCTTTCACAGTTCCATACAGCCAGCACAATACCTCATCAGCAAATGCTAAGCAAACCCCACCCTGTTAGGCAACAAATGACATGAATAGCAATGAAATTAAAACACATACTAGATATAAATTTCCAGGAAAATGCAGCGCAGTTAACAACTTAGAAGGTCAAATGGGACAAAACAAAGCCAGAATCAATAACAGGCTATCGGCACAAAGGGCTATTTTTACCTGCCAATAATTCTTCATCTTCACTCTCTGATTTATTTCTTTGGTTCTCATTCTCTCTGTGCGAACAAGTCGGCCGGAGTCATCCCTGCACAAGGACCATTGAAGTGAATACACTGTGTAGTGCAGAATCCAAAGTCAGATCACCAATTTTACAGAAAAAAACTCTGTTAGTTCATAACAATATTTTCACTTGTCTACAAAATCTCTGCAATTTATGTATTAAACCCTTCCTGAGACAAGATATGCTTGTTTTTATAATTACATCAGTAAGGAGTTACACCATGAAGTGAAATCTTCTAATTGGTAGGTAAACCAAAGGTAATTCGTCAGTTATTACAGCTAGTCAGCTACAAGAAAAAAAATGTATGAAACAGGTTAAGTAATACGAGTGTCTACTCTGAATTGGTCAGTGCAAGGCCTCCTCCAAGCCTTAAAGGAGGCAAAGAAATTTTAAAGACACAAAAGACAAATTTGTATAGCAGACTTCACAATAGATATAGGAAGCATAGTTTTGGCAAGTTATTGTTGACAATCACTAGTTCACTACAGGATCAGGAGTGAATATTCTTAAAGTTTATCTATACATTTGAAAAATCATGTGCAATCAAAGATGTAAATAAGAATTGCCAAGCATAACAAAAAATCCCAAGTCTCTTCACTGCAAAAAGCAGCTGAAAATTTCCAAGGAAATCAGAGCAATCAATTCAACTCACCAAAAGGCATAAAAGAGATGGTTGCAAGAGCCATATACCTGAAGCCAACAACGATATAGGGAACACCAGCTAGAAATGATTGGATCTGCAATCAGAAGGAAAATTAATATCACACAATATACTACAAGTTGAAAGGATATATGCAACAAATAGATAAAGCTAAGATGAAAGGTTCCACAAACCCAGAATTTAAGTAATTTCTCTCTTTCATATCTTTCCTCTGTTCGATAATCCAACTGCAATCAATGGTCAAGTGATTTCTACATAAGAATATATAAACATAGAGAAAGGCTTTGTGAAAATAAACTACATTCACATCTAAAATATTAAATATAAAAACAGCAAACCTCTCGGGATGTCTTCAACTCAACATAAAACTTCCTCCCATCATCAGGGGAGTCATAGCAATCCATTTCAGCACCCATTAATATTCGATGAGCACCAAGTTTTGTTTTGATGACAGCACAATACTCAACGTTGGCATCAATATGATGTATACCCTCTCCATCATCCCTTGTAGGATCTTCAGTTGCAAGGGTCTCAAAGCAATAACCCCAATAGCACCTAAACCAAAAGGAACAACTGAAACATAACATATAACTCAAGAGTAAACAGAAACCATTTTTTTTCCTGTTATTTTGGTTGACCTATATGAAGCACAATATAGTCTTCTTTCTCTTGATTGACAGATGAGAAGAAACGAAATTCACAATACACAAGAATCAGAATTATCACAAAGTCATCAAAATTGTCGTTGTTATGCATGAAACAATATCATAATTAGCCTATTTAATACAAGGAACGGCAAGAGCATGCTCATGAGATGTAGAAGGAACCACTTTAAAATATATACAATTAGTAGAAATGCTTATACACATTCTTTTTTTGACTTTCTAAAAAATAAGAGAAAGCATCTTTTTCCTCATCCTCATTCATGTCATTAATGTCTAAGACTAAAGACAGTAACAAGAAATTCTCATCCTCCTTATAGCACATCATTAATGTCCAAGACTAAAGACTCCCACCCTCCCAGTAACAAGAAATTCTCTAAGGCCTTGAATATCAACAAGGTAGCTTTAACATTGCTGTAGCTCTAACATTCTATCACAATTAAATAATTAAAGTTGCTCTTATCACTTTAGCAGTCTCATGTTCACAACTTCACCTCATTTGAATCGCTTCCCGTAACATCTGGGCATCAATGGGTATTTAAACCCTAAAACATCTTATTGACCAGCAAGTTCTAAAATATCAACAACTTGGCAAGAGATGTTATCATGTCAGTAACTTCATACCAACTATCACAGCCAACAAATTAAAATATACTTCATCTGTTTTATTTTACTTGCAACATACCCTTAAAATGCATGCCACAACATGTTGCATATAAATAAACATACTTCCTCTGTTTTTTAAATTGGACCATTTGCGTTTTTGAGAAGTTGCATGTTAATTGCACCATTTCTAAAATTGACAAGCCTTTATTCACTTTTTGCATGTGTTCACACCAGATACCAATTCTATCCTAGTAAACATTTGATAATAACCATTGTTACCCCACCTTTTCTCTCTCCCTTTTGTTTGTATCACATGGGTAATTTTGGTTCCCTACCTTATATTCTTTTTATTATATTTGAGTCCACACCCAATGGTGAAATTTAAAAAAACAGAGAAAGTATTAAAAGACCAGAGGAAGTAATAGATTAACCACAAGAGCAGCAAGAACTCACTCTCTCTTTCTCTCTTTAATAGCTCAAAATCCACTCACAAGTCACGATCACCACTAAATATCAGAATCCAAGTTTTCCAGTTAAATATCAATAGAGAATTGAAATTTATCTTAAATACTTGGCATATCATTTCAACTGCCTTCATGGTTTGTACATCTATGAACAGCATCAATAGAAAACACTTATTTTAATAGAATACAATTCAAATAAAACTTATAAAAAGAAAAACAGCAAGAGGGCAAGGTAAGAGGGAAAAAAACATTATTTTACCTTCTGCGATCCAATTCTGTCTTTGGCCTTTCTGGTAGTTTATGGACACCAAGATAAATAACCCCCTTTCTTTTATGTACTCCCATTTCCCAAGGTTCATTCCTAATATAAGCAGTGGCCAGAATCTGCATAATTGGTGGAAGAAGAGAAACGTTAAGCTTCAAAATGAAACCAAGAATTAATCAGCTAGACTCTAAGATGAAACATGTATGAATTTATATCCAGTGATCTCCCAAGTCCCAGCTAAAGTTATAAGAAAAACTTATGCAAAGCACTGTACCTTTACCAACTTTCTCAAGGAAGATAAGAAATCACAAGCTTAATTATAGTGTTAAATAAAGCAGCACATTATCTTACAAATATTGAAGAAATCACATTTTACCTTATTTAGATTGTTCCGATACGTCTGCACAAGACAAACAAAAGAATTTCAACAAAATCACAAAGGCAAATGGTTTATGGAATATTTTCACTACCATGGAATCCTTCAGAACAAGATAGTTGTACTTACCACAAAATGCATATTCTCTAGAGGAATTCTTTTATGTCTTATGCAAGCAAGAAGATCACCAAAACCCTGAGAGCCCAAATCTGGTTTAAGAACAGTTGGTTAATTTCAGAGCATGATGAGCATAAAACAGTATTGAGACACAATACCCCAATGGCCAATCTCCCACATTACCACTGCTATTCTCATCCCTCACCTCCCTTCCTCCACACCTCCCAGCCTTTCTCTTAATAATCTATAAATAAATTAAGCATTCTGAAATTTCCTTAAATGCATATCTAGGATACCTTTTTTCTCGATGAATGTATCAAAGCCTTCATTCAGATCTGCTCCAACATCTTCACTGATCAGTCGCTTAAAAAGCCTCTAATAACATACATGCAAACAATAGGACAAGAGTTCACGACCTAAAGTGCTAAAGAGGCATAGTGGTTGGAACATAATCACATAATTAATCTAGATGGCTTACCAGGCTGCGATCATCAAAGAAGACCTCACCAGTTTCCAGACGACTATAGCAGGCAAATTCAGAAGGCTATTTAATCAAATTGCCACTAAGCTGTATTAGCAAACAGTAATTAAAGGCAAATGATCATTCACATGACAATCATCAAGCAATCACCAAAGCCAGTAACTGATAGATAATTTGAATTTAATAGCTATATATCCACTAAATTGTACCACACCCCCAATGAACAAACAAATACTTGGTTTCCAGATAATAACATACCGAACACAGCGCAATCTTCTCAAAGTCTAAAACTCAAGCTGAAACCTAATGACTAGTAATCTAGATATGGTGTACCAGCCAACAACATAATCTAAACTTACCAAGCCAAAACACTACAATAACTCATAATTATACAGAAATTCATGCATCTTAAAACAAGCACCAATTTACCTCTTGGAACTGTACAGGTTTTCTTGAAAGTGTTTCCTCACTACTTGTAAACAGGAGCTCAGAAACAAAGCGTTCATCACGTATAGCAGGAGGAAATCTGGGGTTGAACCCATAATTTTGTCTGGGAGGATATCCAGGCCGAGGTAGGATACCAGCACCTCTATCATTTTGCCATCGTCCACGGCCACGACCACGACCACCTCCACCTCCATCTTGGTGATGGTTATTTCGAATTGGAGGCAAAACTGCAGAATACAAAGCCTTCAACAAACCAGGAAGTAAAGTACAGAAATGAAGAGAGAAACGAAAAAGATAATTATCAAATACCTAATATCAAGCAGTTACAGGAATCAAGACTCAAAGCTGTGCAGCAACTTTGAAACTATATAGCCAAGATATATAACATGGCAGCAAAGAGACTTAATTATTATTCACCTGATACTACTCAACATGCTTAGACAAAGTAAACACTCAACAAGAACATATATGATACACCTTCATTTCCCTGAATTGATATTATTTAATAAGAAGTCTACTACATTAAATCTAATCAATAACAATGGGCACAAAGTAAGCTGGAAAGAATCACATTCTGCGATACAAGCCCCATTGCAGCTTGATTGGAGATGTCCATAAAAAAAAAGAGCCACTATTTCAGCTTAATTGCAAATGCTAAATGAAAACAGACACAAATGATCGATATACCCACCTCTCAACATTCATAAAACGACAGTGGGCAAACATTAAGACCCACAATTGAACTACTATCAGCAACACCCACCTACAAAAACACTACATTTCCTCAAATTGAAACTACATACACAGACAACACAGTTACACAACAAAAGGGGTTTACCCATGTATTAAAGCTCACTGAACTATAAACTGCAAGCATCAAAACCTTAAATTTAAAGAATAAACAGCAACACTCACCAGCAAATAAACCAACAATTTTCTCCAAAATGAAACCACAAACAAACAAAAGAGAGATTACCCACATAAAAAAAAACCTCACTAACTATAATGAGCAAGCATTAAGAACCTAAAATTAAACAAAATTAGCAACTCCCACCAACAAAAAACCCTTAAATTAATTCAAAATTGGGGAAAAACTCAAAATACCAGGAACAGGGTGAGGGCTTTTAGCCAAAGTTTTGCAGTAATCTTCATTATCAGGCCCAAAAAGATCTCGTTCATCATCTACTTCATCAATTTCATCATCATCATCAGGTTCATCCCCAAATATATCCCTAGCAATAATCCTACTATTGGACACTACTTCTTCCCCACCACCATTCTCTCTCCCCTCACTCGCGCTGCTACTCCCACTGACGCTACCACTACCACTGGAAGAAGATCTTGATCTCGAAGACGATGAAGAAGATGAATTTGACGGCGAAGAAGAGCGAGACGAGTCGGAAGATGATGAAGGACGAACACCCCCACCACCGCCATCGCCGCCATATTCCTCTTGCTTTGGTTGTTCTTCGTCATTGTCTTGGGCGTAATCTTCTTCATCATCATCTCCAAATAAGTCTAAGTCTGGTGGAAATTCCATTGAAAGGTGAATATGAAGGTTTGCAAATCTGGGTTTTTTTCGTTCCGGAGTTTTTGTGTGAGAGATTTTTGGGTTTGAATAAAGGGATTTTGTTTGAAATTGTCTAATGCGATTGCAAAAGGGCAGATATTATTTGAGCCCTAAATTTCTGAAGTGAAGAAACAACATTCCTAATTTGTTAAAGAATAAGGGCAGATTATATTTGAGCCCTAGATTTCTTAATTGAAGAACAACATTCCTAATTTGATAAAGAATAACTCAACAGTAAAAAATTATACGAAGTACAAACTACAAAGTGTACAAGACTACAAGTACATATATATAGGCAATATAGCACGCATGTGTTTATCTCAACCTTTTGTTAATAGGAAGATAAAGATGAAGTATAATCAATTACGGATTTACGGCGTAGCGTAAATCATTATGAGTAGGTTACTTTGCGTTTCGGCGCTACTTAAAAAATTAAAACCTCTTGTTTTAATTTTTAAAATCGTGTTGAATTTAATAATTGGTTAGATATTTATAGATCAAACTATTTAAATTGAGATAGTTAATTCTTTTGGAGCTAATACGTAATAGAAAATTGGTAGCAATTGTTGCACCCGAAAAAGGTTGGTTGTAATTGTTTTCGCTATATGCATGTTCCTTCTTGCTTGCAAAATTGCATTGGCTACTTCCTCAAAATGATCTTTCATTTTTTTTATAAAGTACATTTGTGTAGCTCTCTCACAATTTCTTAATATGGGTTTCTTAAGTTAATTGTGTAATAAATAGATTTGTAAACAACTTAATCCATATCGGTTTGAGATTGATTTTTACAAATAACTCATAATTACAACAAATACATTGAATAATTTGACAAATATCTTATTTTTGTATAACTATTTTTTTAGCAAGGAACGGAAGACCAACCTTGAAAGAAATGAGGGAGCATTTTTGAAAAGTACCTAATTAATGTATAACATGCAATTAGCATATAATTTAAAATGGGGGAGCATTTTTGAAAAGTACCTAATTTATGTATAACATCCACAGCCACTTCTTTAATTTGAACTAACTCGTAGCATAGAAAGACCCACAACATGAGCTAGAGGAAGAACTTGTTCGATATAATGGTATGCAAAGTAATCATTCTCACAACAGATTACTAAAAGGATAATGAAATAAGCTAAATAACTTCTACAGAGTAAAGTTATAATTTAAAATGTGCACCAAAAGATGCTCATAAATTTTCTAGCTCAAGTGTTGAGCTCATTAATATCCAACAGTTCTCATTAGCGCTAAGCTCTTCACTTAGCTATACTAGTAGCTAGTCTAGTACAACAATCTCAATTGCATTATAAAAATCTTTTGGTAACGAAAAGATAACAACATTAAGCTATTACTAGTGGCCATCTTAAAACACCATCCAAAATAAAAAAAAGAGAATAGTACATACATTATTACGAGAAGAGAACTGACAAAACAACACATCAAGCTACTCCTAACGGCCATCTAAAACCATCTCCTTGCATAATCCCCTCAAATTTTCTTCATACTTAGTAGTAACCAACTATCCAATCATCGACGGGATGAGGCTCATCAGCCTCAATGTTAAACTTGAAACCAGAAGTTGTGAGCTCCCTCAGATGACGATTGTAAGATACAAAACACTTTTGGACTAACCATAGATGTGATGGATCGGTTTCACTTGTTGATAACAGCCTCCCTACATCTTCTCTTCCAAATTTATGGGGTGTAGGAGCACCATTACATGATATCCCTAAGACTATTATAGCAAAATCTTGCAACTCTTTGCATTGATTCCCATACCGCCTCCACCACTCAACTGCATCAATGTAAACCACATCATGTAATGCATGTCGTCGTAGAGTAACAACTTTTAATAAATCAAAGTTCAATAATGAAGCTTATAAATATACTACCTTCAATCGATATTAATTAAGTCACGTTAAGAGTGAAATTTGAACACGTAATGTGATTCGACAAAAATTGTATAAAGAATATATATAGAAATTAACATATGTGAAACATGAAGTAGTGCATACCTGGAGAGACATTGTGTCTTTCAAACAAACCTATTTTGAAATCTCCTTCGGCGTCATAATATGTATCGAGCTGGCTCATAATAGCTGTTTGGGCTTGTGCATCAGCCACAATTTTTTGTATAGTGTCCCTAATCCCATCCTTTACTTCTTCATCAGCAAAAAAATTATTACTGTAAAAAAGCTTTGGATTTAGATAGTAACCTGCTGCATGAAGTGGGGAGTGCAACATATCGTTCCAAATCTGGTCTATTATAACCCAAAAAGGCATAAATTTGTTAGAATTCTTAATACCAATATCACCCCTAATTTTTTCCTTCATTTTATCCATTCTTTCATATAGATTACCCATTTGAGGCTTATCAACATCAATGTTTCCATCATTGATTAAGCCTAAGAGGTTAACTATTGGCATGGTTCCTTTGACAGAAAGACTAATTCTAGTCCAGAATGTTCTGTCCCTTAGCACTAGCTCCGCGACTCTAATACCTCCCAACGATGATCCAAAGCTCGAATCATTCCATTCTCGTGACATTAGCATGTTCTCAAGTTGTTTTCTCCAAAGCAGCATATTCTCAAGTGTTAGAAAGGGTGTAGCTTCCTTAATTTTAGCCGGTTTCACAAGGTTAGAGTTCTGATCAATTTCTCCATTACTAGCCTTTCTTAGTAGGTCCAATATACGAGGATCACTGTAAATAAGCCTTGTAACCATCTTGGCTTGCGTAATGGTTTGTCTCACCCAGGTTATTGTCGAGGCCACCCTCTCTAGCATCAGACTCAGGCAATATGTGGCGCTGACAGACCAGAACATCCAAGGATATTTTTCCTTAAGTCTTTCTCCAACCGCGTCTAGCCATGGTGATGCAGAGAAGGGTATAACTTGGAGCACACACTCCGGCCTCAAACCAAACTCTGATTCATGAAAAAGACGCTCAATAACCGACATCATCGCCTCAACATCATTAACAGCAAATGTCACATCAATTGATTTCAGATAAACCGCCCCTAGTGGACAATCGATAATCACATTCAGATATGTCCGCCCCGTCATCTCCTCAGTCCACCCATCTAGGATTAAACTGCATTTTACAATATCCCAGTAGTAACTTGTTCTTTGCACCCATGCTCGTAACGACAAGTACTCTTCACACAGGATTTCACCCCTGCCTCTGACAGTAGCTACATCAGACTGATGCAGAGGTCCTCTGCTACCAGTATTAGCCAACTCTTGATAACTTTCTCTTACAACATTAGGATTAAGGTTGTTTTCGGAGAGTTGTTGCGTGCATTGACGTTCAGGCGGTGCCATCCTGCAGGAGCTGATACTAGAATTGACAGCAGGTAATGGTCTTTGAGTCTGCTGCTGCTGCAGCATAGATGATGAGGAAGATATGATCAAAGGTTCCGAATTACCCTGGCACTGAACACCGCTTACAGCAGGATTTTGCTGTTGTTTCGCCTGTTTATAGTTGTTGCCGTTGGTATCCAGCATTTTCCCTTTGCCTTTTTCAGTAGACGAATAGGCTCTCTTCCGAGAAGGCTCTTCCGACAACTGTTTGGCTTTGCCATGATCATCCCTACAGTCCATATTTAGTTGTTTTGGTACCTAAGGCAATACATAACAATTAGTTAAGAGTGTGTATATTGAAAGTTCATAGAATAAAGCAGCAATTTATTACAAGTATATATTTGGTAAGAGGCAACTTAGAGTATGCAAGTAAAAGCTCAAATTATGTCAAAAATACAACATACAGATTGTCAGATTGGTAAGAATAATTACCTTTTATGAAATTATGATGTGTTTATATATATATATAGGATACAATACTTGTTTTCTAGTAGTGTAAGAAATACTTCGTACTACAAACATGTTTTACTTGTTATTACTTGGATGTAACTATAATATCAATACAGACCCTTTAACTTGTAATAAATATCATAAAACATACAAAGTATTTGATAACAATGAAATCAAATAACACAATCCAAAATACAAATTACAACTAATAATTTTCGTGTGAACTTGTTAAAAAAAAAAAAAAGTTACAATTGAATTTGACGAGTCTTCAAGGTATATCATCAAATTCAATATCTTAAAAAGAAGAAGAAGAAGGAAAAAAAAAAGAATCTTGCTCAATGTGATCAAACTTTTATGGTTAGGTTTTGTTGGCATTTTGGGTAATGGCCAATGGGTGATTGGGCCCTTAGCCCTTAGGTAATTTAAAAGTCAATAAAAAGTAAAAAAATGAAGGAAAAACACGCAAAAAGAATGCTAGGCATAACGAACCCAACCACTAAACTTAGATTAAAAAAAGTTGTACGGCGGATCTTAAAGTAAAGGTATAGAGGGCCAAGTTTTGAACTTTAATAACTTCTAATTAAAATTATAGATATCTAGCTATTAACAAATAACATAATCTAACCGAAGTCAAATTTAAAACAATGAAATCAATCGATCCCACTTAACTCTTGTAAAAGCTTGTTACATACAATTAAAATATGGTAATTAAATAATTAATCGCCATAAAGAACAATATGCGAGTTTGATCTACAAATTCAATTTACACAAACTTATATGGACCATTAGATGCAAACAACATATTACGATACATGTACAATATATGTACAAAAATTATATAATTAAGTACCATTTTGGATTTGTAGTTGATAAATTGTGAGTTATAAAATAAATTTGTAATGTATGATTCGAGCATAAAAATTTAAGGCATCAATAAAAATAAATTTGAATATTAACTTTACTTAATTATGTAGTAAAAGTATCTATGTTAGATTAAATTTATTGTCAAAAAAAAAAGATTAAATTTTAATTTTTTTTTTTTTGAAGAAATTTTTTTATTTATTTGAACCTACTTGAAAAAGTTGTTGGATCTATCACTTGACATAATATTTTAACTGAGGCAATATATTTATCACGCACGTCTAGTAACTCTTACAAAACTTATAGGGGTCGGACCCCTATGTGCCCCAATGAAGATCCTCCCCACTTGTACTCCTACCATTGGTAGCTTCAACATATTTATACGCGTTGTAATTTATTGATCTAAAATTTACGAAATCTGATCAGATTTTTTGGGATACTGAATTCGGGACTGAATCTTAGGTCTTTCACATTAATATATATAACATAAATAAATCCGTATGAAATTTTATGATTTCCGACGGATTTACTTGTTCGTCAAAGCTATCCATCGAAATTCAGCGTCTTTGTTTTTGAAGTGTAGCTGGATATGGTTTGGTGTGGGTCTTTTTCGGGTCTTTGGTTTGGTCCGGACTAATATGGTTAGATCTAAAACTAGCCAGGACTTATCTTTATACAATCCTTACTCAAACCAATCTGATCCAAAATTTCATATATTTGAAATTTTTCTTACGTTTTCAACTTCAATGAAAGCCAAAATCATACAAAAATTACTTTTACATGAAAATCAATTAATAATAAGAATATAATTTCAAAATTCATAAAAATTGAATGTCTAGTGTGTTAGAATTTCATTGGGTTTTAGTGCTTGCAATGTTTTTACATTTTTTCAAAAAAAAATTTGGAAAAAAAAATAAAATCGAATATTTCAAAACAAAAGTTCTCAAATCCAATACGATACATCCAAAACATAAAATAAAATTAAAAAAAAAAACAAATTGGTTATCCTAAAATTTGCATCGGATCCACCTGATTACGAATCAGATCAGATATAATTGACAGTTAAATAAGCCAAACAAAAGAAAATGAGAAATAGTTTGCATGACTCCTTGGTAAGTGAGAAATTAATTCAATTCGCTTCTAAGGGGGTACAAAAGATTCTATCGGATACACAAATCAAACATAAATTACGGTAAAATCATTTTAAATACTACATATCTCACATTTCAAATTGAAGACAATAAATTAAAGCACATAGATAGAAGAGAACATAAAAATTAAAGAGACAACACATGAAATTAAAGTATTTTTTTTACCTTTACTTCAAGCAACAAAGTTGTATGGAGAACTTGTCTTGAAAGAGATAGAGCAAAAACCCTAAAATAGTTAATAGAGAAAATAAGAACTTGAGAGCAATGAGAGCTGAAAAAAAAAATTAAGATGTGACTAACAAGGAAAAGAAGAAATAATGTGTTTTCAATGTGACAAGAATAATATAAATATGGTCAAAAAGAGAAAATTTTATGAAATAATGTAACAAACAGCAATAATTCTACAGCGAATTTTTCTTTTATGCCAAATATCTAATCGGCGATGGTAATAAAATATCTTTGAATGGAGGCAAATCATCAAACAAATCAAGCAATTATAGTAGAGTAAGCAAATATTTATCAGCGTATCTTTTTACCTACCACCCTTTAGTTCTATCCATATCCAAAATTATAAAGCGGAGACACACTTGTTTGGTTTTACCATAATCTAATTAGACAGCGGAAACAAACCCTAAGCCTCGGATCCATGTATAATTCTAAAGATTATTCAAAGTATAATTAATCTAAAGACTATACCTTTGAACCACTAGTAGAAAAAAAGAAATAGGCAACCCCCTATGGCAAAGGTTCATGAAAACCATTGCCAACTTAAATGAGCGCCATTTTAAATTTCAGAGTTGGCAACGGTTAACCATTGCCAATTTAAAAAAAAAAACCGCGTATAGCTGCTTCATTCAATTCCAACGTCTCTTGCTATTCCAAAAAAAAATTTCTTCCCTCTTCTCTTCTCTGTTTCGTCCCTCTTCTCTTCGTCCCTCTTCATTGCTTCCCTCTTCCTGCTATTCCATTTGAGCACCCGACGCAGTTGCCACCATACGCACTACCTAGTATCTTCAATTCCATATGCAGTTGCCACCCTTCCATTGAAGCATCTTCGAGGTAAGCTACCTTGTATACCTAGGTTTCAATTACTCCATTGAATTCCTTCACATTCATGCCTTTTTTTGAGGATTTGTTTTGCATTTTAGTAATTGTAATTAGTATCTTGAAATATAGGGTTTCTCAACTACAAGCGCACGTACGACCCCCCTCCACAACGACCCTCCATCCACATATATACTTGGGTATAGGAAATGTAAGTTCTTATTTCAAGTAATTTGAATTTCGTTCTTCAAAGCTTGCCTAAATTTGCTTGACCAGTGATTAATAATACTCAGAAGTGCATGATTGGTAGAAAATGCTGGCAGACAATACTCGAAAGTGCATGATTAGTTTAGAATGCTGGCGTGTGTGGTATTTGTGAATGAAGCTTAGGTAAAAAGCTTATAGCATGTTTTGTTCAATGTAAAAAGGTTTGATGGAAAGTTTTATTTGATTGAATAATTCATAGTATTATTATGGAGAGGTTTTGGCTGGTTTGGTTGTGGGTGGGCTGAGGTTGCTGCAGGCTGCTGGTAGTGTTGTGCTAGTTTCTGTTAGCTTGTTAGCTGACTTCAGGGTTGCTACTGTCTGCAGTAGTCTGTTTGGTTTTGAGCTGTTATGCCTGCTTCTCTGGTTTGAGCTGTGCTGTTTTTCTGATGGCTCGATTCTGCCTTTATGCTAAACCTGCTGTTTTCTTTAGCTATTGTTTTGGTCCAGCTGTTGTCTTGGTTGTGGGCTGTTTGGCTGGTGTTTGGTTTTGTTTTATTCTTGTTTTGGGTGTTTTCTTTGTCCTAGTCCTTGCTTGAAGTACCCTTCCTAGAAGGTCCCTTCTAGTTTGAGGCTAGGTAGTGCCCCTCAATGTTCGTGGCACCCTTCCTAGAAGGTGGCTTTGAACATTGTTGGGTGGTAGTTGTGGTTGTGTGCCCTCGGGCTAGTTTTGTCTCGTGTTTTTGCTATTTTCTTGTTTGTAAGTTTTATTTGTTCATTCTTTGGTAATAAAATTTTTCTTATTTTCCAAAAAAAAAAAAAGACAATATGTAGCCATGTGTTGAGGAGTATTGAAATTCTCCATTGATGATGTTCCTATGGGGAATATGTCCCAAGTTTTGGTTATTTGTTGCCCTAATTAATATAGAAATTGTTTGAAGTAGCTTATATTTGTCCTTTTTGTGTTTTACCTTTTGTGGTTGGTGTGGTTTGTTGCCCCATTTTCTCTCTTATTCCTTAATTATATATATGGCCCTATCTTTTCTTATTATCCATTTCTCATACTTACTAACTTTTGTTTTTTGTTTTGTTTTTTCTTTTTGCGTTTTTATAGATTCATATGTGATTTGAAGTTCAAGTTTAAGCTTGAAGACTACATATATACCTCAAGTGCGAAGTTAAAAAGAATACATTATCCATTGTATTGGTATGAATTATAAACTTCTCTAATAAGCTATATATATATATATATATATATATATATATATATATATATATATATATATATATATATATATATATATATATATATATCTTTATTGTCTTAATAAAAGTTTTTTCATGACAAACTAAATACAACAATAAATATATGAAATGTTTGCATTGCATCATCATATGCCTAGATACCCGTTCAAGGATTTCTCATTAGGAGAAAGTCTTGAATAGTCCTCGGTTGGGACTGTTCTTAAACGTTTACTCTCACTTAGGTGGTGAATGTATGTCCTTTTTTCGATTTTAAGGAACATCTTG